AGGCGGACCCAGCGGGCAGGGCTGCACCCAGCGGCATCAGCCCTCGGAGAAGGACCCTGGGTTGAGGATGGGGGGCATGTACCCCAGGCTGGGGAGGAGGGCAGCTGGGAGAGCATCCCCGAAATCACAGACTGCCCCACAGGGCAGCCCCAAAGCAGTACCTGAAGGTCCCCAGAGCTGTGTCCTCTCGCTGTCCGGGTGGCAGCTGCCAGCTGGGGCTGGTCCCTGGGCACTGGATGTGTTTCCTGGTCTGGCTGCTCTGAACTTCCTGCTGCACGCCTCAATGCCACGCCTGAGCTCTCCCTGGGGACGCAGGGAGATGCTACATAGCCCTTTGGTGGGTCCCTGGCATACCAGAGAGAGGTCAGGTAGATGTTGAATAAGGTGGAGGAGAAGCAGCAAAAAAACCTTCAGTAGGGCCAGAACAGCCTGGTTTGAGCTTTAAGGCATCTCCAGTCAAAAAATAAAAGTCTGGGAGATTGTGCCCTGGGGTTGCTGTGGTTTCCCTCCCACCTGGCACACAAGGCTGGCTGTCCTGTGCCATCACCCTGGAGGAGAACAGGGTGCCTGAGGAATGAGGGGCACCTGGAATGTGCCACCCTGTCCCCACCTGATACCTCCATGCGGGAGAGGACACTTACACCTTCCTGCTCCTCTGGCAGGTCTCCAGGCAGGGTCTTGCTGTTGTGGACCCCTCTCCCTGCCAGCGGGCAGGGCCTGCTGCCTCCAGGATGGCAAGATGGCTGCCACGCTCTGCCGACCTGACTCGCTTCTGCCAGAAACTCAGCCGGGTGAAGACCTTGGAGGAGGATATGATGGAGACATCCTTTAACAGATGCCTTTCCACCATTGACTTGACACTGCTGGGCATCGGGGGCATGGTGGGCTCTGGGCTGTACGTTCTCACAGGCACTGTGGCCAAGGAGATCGCCGGCCCCGCCGTTATTGTCTCCTTCATCATTGCCGGTTTTGCCTCACTCCTCGCTGCTCTCTGCTACGCTGAGTTTGGAGCCCGAGTACCAAAGACGGGCTCTGCCTATATGTTCACCTATGTGTCTGTGGGTGAGATCTGGGCCTTCCTCATTGGCTGGAACGTGCTGCTGGAGTACATGATCGGGGGAGCAGCAGTGGCCAGGGCCTGGAGTGGCTACCTAGACTCCATCTTCAACCACAAGATAAAGAACTTCACTGAGACCCATGTGGGTGCATGGCAGGTGCCATTCCTGGCCCGCTACCCCGACTTCCTGGCTGCTGCCATCCTGCTGGTAGCCACCACCTTCATTTCCTTTGGGGCCAAAGTGTCCTCCTGGCTCAACCATGTCTTCTCAGCCATCAGCATGGGTGTCATACTCTTCATTCTTATCATGGGCTTCATCCTCGCGCAGCCCAAGAACTGGAGTGCCCAGGAGGGTGGCTTCGCCCCATATGGGCTGTCGGGCATCATGGCAGGCACAGCCACCTGTTTCTATGCCTTTGTCGGCTTTGATGTCATCGCAGCCCCTAGTGAAGAGG